GGGCTTGGAATGGAGACTCCATGCAGGGCCATGCCCTTCCAGGTGGACATCACACCTCAGTCACTACCGGGCTCTCCCCCTGTGTGGTGTCCTGGGGTCGCAGTAACAGCCCACGACTGGGGAGTGTGTGCTTACAACAACACACATGCATTCTCTTACCGGCTGGAGGCCAGGAGCCCCAATCAAGTTGTTCTGGGGCCACAGCTCTTCCCAGGCTCCTGCCTCCTGCAGCTGCTGGTGGTGCTGGGACCCTTGGTTGGGGAGGAAGGCCTGGACCCCCACCCCGTCCTCCCCACCCCCCTGTGCTCTCCGCATCCTCACCTCTTCCTACAAGAAACCATCATTGGATTTACGGCCTCCCCGCCTCCACTCTGACCCCATCTGAACTAGTTGCACCTGCACTTATTTCTAAAGCAGGTCAGGTTCTGAGGGACCGCACTGGTCCACACTGACCTCCCTCACTGGTGAGGTTACAGGCCATCAGGCTGTGTGCTCCTAAGAGGGGGAGCACACCCCTGAGGAGGCAGGGGCCTGGCCACAGGAAATCTTTAGGAGCCCCACGGCCCAGCACCCAGGGGCCCCCATCAAAACAACAGGCCAGTGAGGGCCTCTGCCCCTCTCAGGGAAGCAGCGTGCTCCCCACCTCACAGTGCCCTCCAGCCCGTGACGCTGGCCACACAACAGGCTGCCGGCTCTGAGTGGTCCCAGCGCTGGACAGGGCTCTGCTGCAGGTCCAGCTGCACTGGCCTCACAGGGCGCAGCAGACACAATGGTGTTAAAAGTATTGGTGATGGGCAAGCCCCATGGGGGGCAGGACAACGCAGGCCATGCAGCCTGCATTGAGGACTGTTCCTGAGATGTGAGTGACAGCTGGTGTCTGGGTACATTGAGCTCCTTGTGTCTGGAGGCCAGGGAGCAAGACCTGCCACCATCTTGGTGGGACAATGACACTGAGCACCAGGCAGAGGCAGGGCTACTGTGTCACAATGGGGGGCAGGGAAGGTGAGGGCCCTTGCGTGTCCCTTGCTACCCCCTCGTCAATGTGATGGCTGGTGGACACGTGCAGCCACCCGGCCTGAGAAGTCCCTGTGACCAGAGCTCAGCCCCTCAGGGATGGGGGACTGGGTCGTGCTACCAGGTAAGTCCCAGAGTCACGGTTAGTAGCAAAGGGTGGGATCCAGGTGGACAGTGAGGGGCCCTGTCGGCCTCAGTTGTACCCTGAGCCTCTGCTTCCCAGTTTCCTGGGCAGGGACTGCTCGGTGGTCCTGGGGCCGCCTCCTCAGCACACGAGGCAGAAGGTGGGGGACGCTGCCGGACACAGAGGCGGGCCAGGTCCCCCTTCAGGACAGGACCTGATGGGAGGCCTGGCAGTTCCTCTGGCTGCCGCGCCCCGGTTGGTCCCTCTTGGCTAGCGCAGGGAGAGGCGGGGGGTGGGCACTGTGTCCCTGTGGGGGCCGTGGCCTGGGTCTCCCTGTGGGCTGGCCAAGGTGTCATCAGCCTGCATTGTGCTCCAGCCTCACCCTCTGCCCAGCTTTGCTCCATCCACCTGCCTCCCAGGTGCCTCTCCCTGACTTGTACCCACAAGAAATCCAGGCTGCACTGCACAGCCAGGGGGCCCCTGCCTGCCCTTCCTGTGCCAGGGGATGAAGGGGCAGAGAGGGTTTTCCGTGCAGCTTCTGAGGAGCACCCTGCAGGGGCTTGTGCATGGCCTCAGCTGGTGGCAGTGAGGGTGGCCACAAGCCACGTGCCAGGCAGATGGCATGCTCTAGTCAGATGGTGGCGAGCTCCACGCTGCCTCACAGGGTCCAGTGGATTCAGGGGCTGCCCTGTGGCTTGAGGGCCCAGCAGCAGCTCTGGGGCTCTGCCTCCCTGGGCCAAGTGCTCTGGGTCTTCTTCTAGCACCTGCACCCTCTTGGCAGCTCTCCTTGCTCAGGCCGCTGGCCTGGCTGTGCTTTGTGGCTGAGATCGTGCAGCCAGAGATGGCTGCTGCCCAGTGACAGCAGGTGGCAGGTCCGGGGGAGGCAGCGCCAGGGCCCAGCAGCTCCTCGCTGACTGCTCACTGACCCTGGGGTGGGCCAGCGAGAGGAGCAGCTCTCTCTGCCCATGGCCCAGCCAGGGGTCCCCGCCTGCCCTTCCTGTGCCCGGGGATGAAGGGGTGCAGAGAGGGTCCCAAGGAGGGTCCCTCCAGGTGAGGATGCCCCTGCTCAGACCCCGGCTTCTCCATCCCCACACGGGGACCCGGCCCCTGGGGGTCTCACCCAGGCCCCTGCCATCCCCGCAGATGCTGTGGCAGATGTTGTGGCTGCTGTTCATGAGTCTCCCAGACAATTGAGTGGCCTTAGCATATCATTAGCATATTATACTTTGATTGGTTGAACAGATGACCAGATGACCTAACACTTAGCATATTAGGTTTTTATTATCCTATATCATAAAAGGCTAATATGCAAATGGACCAAACAACGGAACAACCGGTTGCTATGACACGCACTGACCACCAGGGGACAGATGCTCCACGCAGGAGCTGTCCCTGGTGGTCAGTGCGCTCCCACAGGGGGAGTGTTGCTCAGCCAAAAGCCTGGCTCACATCTGGCGAGCACAGTGGTGGTGGTGGAATCCTCTCCCACTTTCGTGGCAGGCGGGCGGTAAGGAGTGAGAAGTATGGACTTGGAGAGGGCACAGGCTGGCCTGAGGGACCCCCCTCCCCCCCGTCCCTGAGTCCACAAATTTCATGCACCAGACCTCTAGTATAGGATAATAAGTCCCTGAAATCTCTCCTCCTGGAAACCTCAGTTCTGGGCAAGCCAGGATGGCAGGTCCCTACCACACAGGGCTTGTGAAGGGGGTATGTGTTTTGGTGGCCGTGACTTCAGCAGACTGGCTGCAGTGCCTGGCAGGACAAGGGCTGGGCTGTGGGATGAGGGGTGGGTGGGGAGGATGTGGAAGCAGCTGGCAGTGAGAACTGGGAGCAGGGCAGGCAGGAAGCCGGAAGGTGCCCATCAAGGGGCCACAAGCCATGGACACAGCGTTCCAGCGCCAGCTCTCCCCGGCTGGCTGGGAGACCCTGGGGAGACCGTGCCCCTCAGGCCTCGCACAGCCTGATCGCCAGGGCCGCTGGGCCCGCCTGTGCTGTGCAGATCCCTTCTTGTTCTGGGCTCCATGCCACACCCGCAGTGATCAGTGGGTTTTCACTTGGTAACTGGGTTGGAGTAGTTAGTGTTCCCTAGTGT